GCTGAGATTACAGGTGTGAGCCACCATGCCTGGCCCCAACTAGGGACTTTTATATTTAAACACACTTCTGAATTCAAAACACTAAAGTCACATACCACAAGCCTGAGTTTATCAATAAGTTACTGAAACCCCCAAGACCATCTTTAAGTCTTTTCACGGTTGTGATAACACCCTCCCAAGCCTTGCTAAGAAGAACACTTTTCTTGCAAGAGAGAAATGAAAGGGGCCAGAGTAGAAGATTGGTTCTCTAAGGAGAGGGCAGTGCTGTTCTTAAATAAAGAAGCTCCTTTCAGATAAGCAGAATCAGATTCCAGTTCAGTTGGTTTGCTGGCTACCCTTACTTTGAACTCTCATATTTAATCCAGCAGGCTTCAAAGCAGGTGAGAAAATGACCTACCACTTAAAAGCAATTTTTCCTTTTTCAGGAATTCTGGCCTTAGAGAATATCAGCTCTGATATAAGCACATTCCACATCTCCAGGGATTTATGCAACACTTTTTCATTGCTCTGTGTCTAATGTCAGACTAGGTTTTCATCTCAGCCAGGAGAAAAATCAGGGGAAAAAATCCTAACTTGCTAAAAATGAAGTCTTATTCCAAATAGCCTTATACCATGCAAAAGAAGAGGCATTAAAACCATTAGCCATTCTAGTTAATTCCCTTTCATTTCTCTAAATCTGATATACAGTGAGAATTATTTAAAATCAGTCTCCACTGCCTGGCCTCACAATAACGCAATTTTTGTAACAAATGCATTTTAAGAAATTCAAATTCAATTTGCTCTGGCATGTGAGCTATTATGAAAAGATATTAGATAAGAAAGAGACAATGGTAACAATAAAGAAATTTAGGAAAATTTTTAAAAGTCTGTCTTCTGAAATACAACAAGTATGTCTCAAAGATACTTCATCAATTTCTACTTTATTTGGCCATCAAATATCTGAGTTAACTGGAAATGCTAACACAGACAGTTTGTAACTTACCAACAGGTTCTGTTCTACAAGGTAGTTGCTTAGAACCTGAAACATTTCTTCACTTTCTACATTCATATACACATAATGTGCCAGAAGCATAGTAGTAACAATATTTTTTTTTTTTTGAGACAGGGTCTTGCTCTGTTGCCCAGGCTGTAGTGCAACAGTGAAATCTTGGCTCACTGCAGCCTCCACCTCCCAGGCTCAAGCGATCCTCCCATTTCAGCCTCCTGAATAGCTGGGACCACAGGTACACACCACCACACCTGGCTAACTTTTTTGTATATTTGATAGAGATGGGGTTTCACCATGTTAACCAGGCTAGTCATGATCTCCTGAGCTCAAGCAATCCACCTGCCTTGGCCTCCCAAAGTGCTGGGATTACAGGCAGGAGAGCCATTGCACCTGGCCTACTAATAGTGTTTTTAAAATTATACCCAACCACCATTTATACTACAGTTTCTACGGAAAAAATGCATTTTGAGCTGACTGTTAGGACATGTCTCCTTTAAACAAGAAGGAGGTAGGGTTTCCCACTATTGTTGCACTTTGGTGATGATGATGACAATGAAGGTAGCAACAACAGCTAACTCACCTAGTTTTCACTGTGGGTAGACATAGTCCTTCCTAACACTTGAATCTTTTAAAGTCATTTAACACTCACCAAAACCCATGAGAGGTAGTATTATTCTCATTTTACAACTAAGGCTAGAAAAGGTTAAGTAACTTACCTGACATTGTACAGCAGTGTTTCAGGGCTAGAATTCAAAGCAAAGCAGCCTGCCTCCAGAGTCTATTTCATAACCACTCTGCAATGCTGCCTCTTTTCCACCTTGACAAGGCAGCACTATTGAGCTGTTCTAAATTCCTCTTATTAGGCGTAGAGTACAGCAAGTTTCCCCAAGTTTTAAATGTATATATAGGATCACCTGGGGATCTTGTTAAAATGCAGATTCTGATTCAGAAGGTCTGGAGTGGTGCCTGAAGTTATGCATTTTTAATGAGCTCCTGGGTGATGGTGATGCTCCTACTGCATAGAGCACACTCTATGAAGTGGCGAAGAAGTGTAATTTAAGCCTCTAGTTCCCTTGCTGTTTGTCTGTCTATAAAGGTATTAACACATTGTGTTTATAAGCTGGAAACTGGTCGGGCATGGTGGCTCACGCCTGTAGTCCCAGCACTTTGGAGGCCAAGGTGGGTTGATCACCTGAGGTCAGAAGTTCGAGACCAGCCTGGCCAACATGGCAAAACCCCATCTCTACTAAAAATATAAAAGTTAGCCAGGTGTTGTGGCACGTGCCTATAGTCCCAGCTACGCAGGAGGCTGAGGCAGGAGAACTGCTTGAACCCAGAAGGCGGAGGTTGCAGTGAGCTGAGATCACATGGTTACACTCCAGCCTGGGTGACAGAGCGAGACTGTCTCAAAAAAAAAAAAAAGAAAAAGAAAAAAAAAGCTGGAAACTGCCCACACCACAGTCATTTCCCATTAACTCTTAAATGGAACCTGACTTTGGAAATCCTGCACAAATACTGGTTTGCAGGAACTTTCAGTAAATACTTAGCCTTTAGGGTTTTAAAATGTACACATGTAAGGGCCACAGGGATAAAAATGGGGCTCTAAAAGTTTTACCATTAGGCACATTCTTAACACTATATACTATCACTTATACAGACACCAAAATAAATGCTTGTTCATTATCCATCAACTAGAAAAGCAGTATATCAATAACTTTTGGTCTGCAAAAGAAGCTTCCACTTTAAAACATGTAATTATTCATTCTCAGTCTCTGCTAGAGGAGTGCTAAGGAACTTATGCTATGTAATCATAAAGGTTCTTCTGGTGCCATTAGTGACTGCCTAGGTAAAGGCAGACACTATATACATTAATTGTAGCTAGTACCCCATGGAAATATACTACTAACAGTTGGTATAGATCTATTTCAGATTCTAGATCTCCCTCCTTGCTCTATTTCACTTCCTTCCCACTCCACTTGCCTGAGACAAATCCAAGAATCATCTCTCCCATTGCTTGCCTGTGATCTCACATACACAGTTGCACATTTTCTTTCCAGCTATTAAATGGATGGAATTCTCTTTCTAGGCCATTTTTATTCCATGCCAGATTACATAGTAAGGTTATTTAAGTTTGAGATGCACTCACTCAACTATTAGCACTATTGCAAACAACAGTTACGAGTGGGATCACTGAGTGTTCATTTTACACTAAAAAGAAATAGAATAGTCAGTTTCCAAACCAAATAGCTATACTCCCTGAACAACAGTGGAAAGTCATTCTTCTTGAAGTTTGACCCAGAATCAAGTGCAGACTCAGACTCCTAGGCCTACAGCCAGTGGCAACTTAACACATTATATGGCTGACCTTCAGGGAAAAAGGGAAACCACTGCTCTTACCACTGGTGCCAGAAAAAAGCCAACTAATCTTTAAGGCACAAAATAAACTATTCTTAAGGCAGAAAAAGAAACTGTGAAGAAACAAGTTAGAATGGAGGCATATAGAGAAAAATACAGAAAATATATTACCAAGTAAGGACTAGTTTTTCCATGGTTCTCAGTGTTTTTATTTTTGGGAATATAATTAATCAGCATTTTCTTTTTGGGTTTTAACTCTTATTACCTGGTAGAAATGCAAAGATGTACAAGAAAGATGCATTTTTAAAAAGGCTTGGAGGCTGGGCATGGTGGCTCACGCCTGTAACCCCAGCACTTTGGGAAGCCGAGGCGGCTGGATCATGAGGTCAGGAGATTGAGACCATCCTGGCTAACATGGTGGAACCCTGTCTCTACTAAAAATACAAAAAAATTAGCTGGGCATGGTGGCAGGCGCCTGTAGTCCCAGCTACTCGGGAGGCTGAGGCAGGAGAATGGCATGAAGCCGGGAGGTGGAGCTTGTAGTGAGCCGAGATCATGCCACTGCACTCCAGCCTGGGCAACTGGGCAAGACTTCATCTCAAAAAAAAAAGAAGGAGGCTTGGAGACTTAAAGGCAATTATCTTTGCTAATTTTACTTTGAGCCGGTGACATTAATTAACAAGTTTATATAGAAGAGTAAATAGTTTCTGGGCATGGCGGCTCATGCCTGTAATCCCAGCACGTTGGGAGGCCAAGGCGGGCAGATCACTTGAGCCCAGGAGTTCAAGACCAGCCTGGGCAACGTGGCAAAACCCTGCCTCTACAAAAAATACAAACATTAGCTGGGCATGGTGGCATATGCCTATAGTCCTAGGTACTCGGGGGGCTGAAGCAGGACGACTGTTGAACGCAGGAGGCAGAGGCGGCAGTGAGCTGAGATCGTACCACTACACTCCAGCCTGGGTGACAGAGTGAGACCTTATCTCAAAAAAAAAAAAAAAAAAAAGAGTCAATAGTGATGGGATACCCACTCTAATATGAGTCCTCAAGTATTAACTGGTTCAGGAATTGGGGAAGCAGTTCAAAACTACAGGGTAAAAATGAAAATAAAGATCTACACATGGTTCTATATCCAAGTCTGGGGAAGGTCAGTAAGACACAATAACTTGGAGAATCTTTGAGACATAGGCACATTCTGTACCTAGGGACCAATGTCTCATCTGTCCCCCTGCCTTATGTACTTATTATCCATCCTAGTTGTGCTCTTGAGTTTAAAGTTCAACAAATCCTGAGAAGTAATGATTCCATTTAAATGAAAAAAATCAAAGGGTTTGTTTACAAAATAGGGTATTTTTTAAAATACCAAAGATAGTAACAAATGCTATGTTTATCATCAAAAGTGATCTATAAGAGCAAACTTTATAATGTTATACTGTTATAATCTTATATTGTATTCTTTAAACTTTTAAGCAACAGAAGTAGCTCAGATCACCAAAAATTTATGTTTGACATATTTATGGCAGCAGCTATACAAATCAATTCCTTTAATTTACAACAAATATCTTCCACTGTTCAGCTGAGTTAGCACAGGCAGATCAGAGATGGTTTCTTGTGTGTTTTACAAATAATCTACACAAGTCCTTGAGATCATACTTACAGCTTTAGCAAAAATACCCATGATTTCAGGAAACTGGTGTGTGAGAATGGCTATCATTGCTGTAGAAGAGCAAAATCCTGCTGTGAAATGGATGAACAAAGGAAGCTCCTTCTTTGGGTAAACAGAAACATGATGAAAGGCTGCAATGGAGAATAGGTAAGAATCAATTTTATTTCAGAATAACATGTAAATAAGTCTTAATCTTTTCAAATGAAATCTGTTTTTAAAAACAAAAAAGAAAAAAAAATTTAAAAACCAAGTCTCTGGCTAAGCAAGGTAGAAGACAGTTATCCATTACTTATCCCAGCATCAACAGCATATCTAAATAGACAGACAACTGTGCTGGGCGTGAGAACAGGATGGCATCATGGGAAAGAACATTGATTACAAAGTCATGCTGAGGTGACTTTGAAAAAAAAAGCTTTGTCACTTATTAGCTATGTGATCTTGAATAAGTTGCTAAACCCTCTAGAAGTTGCTATGGAGAGTTGTAATGATGAACATTTTAAGTGCTTAATAAATGTGAGTTGCAGCCACGGGTGGCGGCTCATGTCTGTAATCCCAGCACTTTGGGGGTGCTGAAGAGGAGGATTGCTTAAAGCCAGGCATTCGACACTAGTCTAAGCAAAATAGTGAGACCCCCATCTCTTAAAAATTTTTAAAAATTAGCCCAGCATGGTGGTGTGTGCCTGTAGTCCCAGCTACGCAGGAGGATGAGGTGGGAAAATCACTGGAGTCCAGGAGTTTGAGGTTGCAGTGAGCTATGATCATTCTACTGCACTCCAGCCTGGGTGACAGATCTGTCTCTAAATAAATACATAAATCTGAGTTGCTACTTTTTTTTTTTTTTTTTTTGAAGAAGAGTCTCGCTCTGTTGCCCAGGCTAAAGTGCAGTGACACGATCTTGGCTCACTGCAACCTCTGCTGCCCAGGTTTAAGTGACTCTTGTGCCTTAGCCTCCCAAGTAGCTGGGATTACAGGCACAGGCCACCACGCCCAGTTACTTTTTTGTATTTTTAGTAGAGAGGGGTTTTGCCACGTTGGCCAGGCAGGTCTCAAACTCCTGGCCAAAAGTGATCTGTCCACCTTGGCCTCCCAAAGTGCTGGGATTACAGGTGTGAGCCACCACACCTGGCCTTGAGTTGTTATTAATTATTGTTCTTTGGGAGCTCAAAAACTAGCATGGAGAAAGAGGCAGACACGTCATTAGTGATTTCCTAGAACTATCAGTTAATAATTTTATCCAGTTATTAATGTGTTTATATATGTGGCATTTCATTAGGCACTGTAAAAACTAAAGTAGGTAAGCCGGGAGCAGAGGCTCACGCCTGTAATTCCAGCAATCCCAGCACTTTGGGAGGTCGAGGCAGGAGGATCACGAGCTCAAGAGATCGAGACCATCCTGGCCAACATGGTGAAACCCCATCTCTACTAAAAATATAAAAATTAGGTGGGCATGGTGGCATGCGCCTGTAGTCCTAGCTACTCAGGAAGGCGGAGGCAGGAGAATCGCCTGAACCCGGGAGGCAGAGGCTGCAGTGAGCCAAGATCACGCCACTGCACGCCAGCCTGGCAACAGAGCAAGACTCTGTCTCAAAAATAAATAAATAGATAAATAAATAAATAAAGTAGGTAGGCCAGGCATGGTTGCTCATGTCTGTAATTCTAGCACTTTGGGAGGCCAAGGTGGGTGAATCACTTGAGGTCAGGGGTTTGAGACCAGGTTGGCCAACATAGTGAAACCCCATCTCTACTAAAAATAGAAAGATTAGCCAGGCATGGTGATGTGCACCTGTAGTCACAGCTACTTGGGAGGCTGAGGCAGGAGGATGGCTAGAACCTGAGAGGCAGAGGTTGCAGTGAGCCAAGATCATGCCACTGTACTCTAGCCTGGGCAACAGAGCAAGACACTATCTCAAAACAAAACAAAACCTAAACTAGCAAACCAAAGGCCTAGGATTCTGACCATAAATAAAGTCCCTTATCTTATTTTACCATATTTACACATTTACTCAGCTATTATTATTCTAGTGATTGGATATTTCATTATCAATTATACTCAAGTATTTATATTTTATTTGAAATTTGAAAATACTTGAATAATACTACTGAGATGAGCCTATTAGAGTACTTAACATGCAGTAGGTGCTCAATAAATGTCTGCTAAACTGAGAGCTATTCTGGGACTTCATTAGGCCAGGAAGTTGACCGCTTAGGGCTGGATACTAACCCAGGAATTTCTGATGTAATATCCTGCATTAGTAAGGGATGACTAATTTTGTGCTGAACCAAGGTCAGCTATAAATTTCACTTTTAAAACATAATGATTCACAGAGATTACACCTAAGCTTCCTTCAACAGCTATATTTTAATTTTTATTTTACTATATTCAGAAAGTATATACCAAAACACAAACTCATTAAAAATCCAGAAAATTTCCAGAACCTTGAGCCTTGTTTAAAGTAAAAGCACATCAAAATGGAAGTTTTAAAAGGTAGAAACATTAGAAACTGTAGAGAACATTGTGCTTTCAGCACCCAAAGAATCAGTCAGCAATCCCCTTTGCCCTGTCCCTCAGCTGTGAGAGGCCAACTTCTTCTTCTTCCCAACTTCAAATCAAGAGAAACAAACCCTGGTATTCAAGAAGGTGGGAAACACATACAATACAGCAAAGTTAATAATATTAGCTAACCTATATAGCATTTTATGGTTTATAAAGAACTTTAATTTATATTAACTCATTTAATTCTTTTCAGTAACCGTAAGAGATAGTAGTATTATTCTCAGTTTATAAGGTAGAAAACTGCATAGCTTTAGTAAGGAAATTTCCTGAAATATGAGATTTTTATACTGTAGGAGAGACCTAATTATTTCTTTCTGGATTGCTTTCTGTAGATTCATTTGTCAGTCAATGTTTGGCTAACACATCAAAATAATAGATGACTGACTATTACAGAAACACTCCCTTGGAACGAAAGTTCAAATTTCATCACTGGCTTGTAGAGAAAAATTTATCAGAAGGCATAAAAGACGACTAAATAGCTATGTGAACTAGGGGAATAGTTCAACTCTGAACTTATGAGGTCCATAAGCAAATTCCAGAATGCGGTAAGTCATATCAAGGTTGAAGGAAAATTAAAAACAAAAAACATTAAGTACTCCTGGGTATTAAAACTCCATATTGTTAACAATTTGTTCATTCTACCACAGCCACAGACAGAAAAAATACTCTAAGAACATAAAATATAATCAAACAAAACCCCCCAGCATATTACCCCTCTCCTACCTTCTGGAGTTTGCACCCTATATGGAGTTGGAATTCATAAAGTCTTGCCAAAAACAAACTGGTCTTATAGCTTATGGCTTTGACAACATGATAATAACCCTGATTTTATTCATATTACTATGTAAAATTGGCCTTATATTAGACAACCTTTGTAATAATTTACAAAGGAGGGCATTATTTTAGGCTAAATGTATTAGCTTAATATAATACACTCTTGCATACATCATGACGTTCCATAATTTAAGGTCCATTCTTTTGCCTTAAATATACTTGTTCCCATTAAAATGGAAAGACAATAAGTACAACTACCACTACCACCACTTTAGGAAGAAAAATAAAATTTCTCTCATTAATGACATCTTAATTGCTAGAGTCAATGAATTCTTCTTAGTATCTACTTTACCTATTATCTCACATATTCCTCCGTACTTGGAAATTTCTTCTTCCTTTTAGTTCTAGGATATCTAGTTTTAGTTATTGTCCTGTCTCTCCGACAACCTCTTCACTGAATCTTCAACTCTTTCTGCCACTCATTCCTTAGACATTTCTAAGGAATGCACCCATGGTTCCACCCTCAGTTCAATTGTCACTGCATACAGTTTTCCTTAGTGATTTCATTTATGCCTAGGACTTCTTTTGCTACTTAGAAAATGATGACTCCCAAGTCTGTTTTTTGAGATGTACAGAGGAAGATATATGAGGACCACTGGCAATTTTATTTATACAACCTAATCTTGTCTTAGGCCACAGCTGACTGGACAAGGAGTAAACACCTGGATAAATTTCATTTTTTCTCTCTCAGAAGTTTTAGAAGTGGGATTGAGGCTGGTTGCAGTGGCTTACACCTGTAATCCCAACACTTGTTGAGGCAGGCAGATCACTTGAGCTCCGGAGTTCAAGACCAGGCTGGGCAACATGGTGAAACCTCATCTCTACCAAAAATACAAAAATTAGCCAGGCATGGTGGCACATGCCTGTGGTCCCAACTACTCAGGAGGCAGAGTGGGGAGGATCTTTTGAGCCTGAGAAGTTGAGGCTGCAGTGAGCCGTGAATGTGCCACTGCATTCCAGCCTGACAGTGAAATCCTGTCTCAAAAAAAAAAAAAAAAAAAAAAGAAAAAAAAAAAGGAAAAGAAAAGAAAAAGTGAGATTGAGATACTATTCATTCTGTATTGTTTGCCTGAACTCATGACATGTAAACAGAGGGCTATAGGGGCCTCAAGTTTGACCACATAGTCTATGAAGAAAGCCAAACTGTAAAGAGAAAAGATATAAGAATGAAGTGGATACACTGAGAGAAACAGCAATGACAGATCACAGAAAGAGAAAATGGGGCTGGGGAGGGAGGAAAGTAAGAATAGGAAAGACTGAAAAAAGCATCTAGGGACAGAGATATTCAAATAATTGATTCCTGGAAATCCTAATGACTTTCTAGTCCCCAGTTCTAGTCCCTTACGAAGTTCAAATATAATTGTTGATTTTGAGTTCTCTGATAACCCAGTGTTCTTCCAACAAATCACTATGTATGTTTAAGCTAGTTCAAAGTTGCTCTCTATTACTTACGCCTACAACATTCACTAATTATAAATATTATATGTTTACTTTATAATCTATATTATATACATAACTTAAAAATACATCTATACCTATATATTACTTAGAGAGATAAAATATAGACTTGTATGTATATGTGTTAAGATTATACAAGAAAATATTTAAGCATATAAATTTCTATATATGTACACATATATATACACATATACAGGTATGCATGTATATATGGATGAGATGTTACACAGGAAACACAGTCAAAGCTTGAACTTATTTATTTCCCCAACCCCTATTCCCAAACTG